CCTGAAACAAGTTAAACACGTCAAATAAACTAAACAAATTAGACCTGTTGAACAGGTTTGAAAACAAGTTGAACAGTTTAAATAGTGTTTATGTCGATTACTCACAAGTGAATCATGCAATGATCGCACACTAAGGAGTTGAAATATCGGTGATTTATTTTGTGGTATACAAACTAGACTTTCCCTGATTGCCCCCTCCCTCCTCATATTGACTGATACCATCAGACGGAAGCGAGTTAGATTGCTGGTTATTTTTGCATCGCTATTTCATTTGCAATGGTAAGATTAAAAAAAAGTCTAGTGTCAGGGTTGTGCTAGTTCAAAACGGCAAAACTTTTAAACGATTACTTTTTGAAACAAGTTGACCAAGTCAAAGAAATTCAACTATTTGAACAGGTTTGAAAACAAGTCTAACATGTCAAAATAATGTTCATGTCGATTACTCACCGTTGAACCATGCAATGATCGCACACTCAGGAGTTTAAATAACAGTGATTATTTTTGTTTTATACAATCTGAACTTTCCACTGATTTTTCATTTGTTTATTATAATTATCTTTTTTGTTAATATTGAGAGGTATTTCGTTAAAAATATGCGCCAATACGTGGCATACAATTCAGAGTCGAAGTCAAAATTTCGATTTTGTTGAAGTCAGAAATTCAGACATTCAATGGTGATAATGGATGTCAAAGCAGAAACTCAAAAAGCATATAAACATTTACTAAGCGTTTTTAACAACCAGTTAAGAAGGCTTACATGCACTAGAGATTTTGTTATTGAAATAAGATTTTTTAAGAGTTCGGATATGTAATCGAAATCAAAATCGAAGAATTGTTTGCAACCCGGAGCCGTCAAAGTTTTTTTCATTCAGAGTGGTTCAGAGTACCATAAGTGGAACGCGACGATCTATTCACTGATACTAAAGTACAAAGGTTTTTTCGGATGCTGTTTCATTTTCATTAATCAAATATTTGTAATTCTTTTTTGTACGTGTTGCATAAGATAATAACGTAACAATTTTTGAGCACAATTCTGCTTGTAGTGCAATGCTGCAGAATACGTGTTTTGTCTCATCCAAAAGTAAAAGTTATTCAGTATCTAGTATGAATATATAAAATACAATTTCAACGCAATCAAACATAATGGCGAGATTGTTACTCAAAGTGTGAAGTTCTTGTTCATGTTTTTGGTCAATTCAACAATTTTGAAGAATGTTTTGAAATTTATGTTATTTCGTTATATATATATCAAGTATTTTGTCAAGTCTGATTTGACTGATCGAGTTTTTTTACGATTTACTTATTAGATTGGAAAAATGTTTGAAATATCCATTCATGCCCTAAATATTTTTTGATCGCCGAAAGCTGATCTTGTTCAAATTTTGAGTCAATTTAAAGATTTTTCGGATTTTTGTGAAATTTACGTAATTTCTTTATATTAAAAATATTTTATTAGAATATTGATCAATTTTTTATAAGTTTTTTTATAAGGTTAAAAGATGTTAAAACTATTCATCCATACCCAGCATTTTTTTTGATCCTCGAAGACGGATCTAGTTCAAATTTGGCTAAATTTAACGATTTTTCGAATTTTTATGAAATTTATGTTAGTTATATTGTAGGTATTTTGTTTCAATACTGAAACATTTTTTTCCAATATATTCATTTGATTTGAAAAAGTTTCCATGTATTAATCAATATTCAAAACATTTTTGAGACCCCAAGGCCGATCATGTTCAAATTATGTGACGAATTTCTCTTTTTTGGGGAACTTTGTTGGTATTTACGTATGTTTTTGACATGTATACGGCATATTATTGCAATAATAATATAATGTTATAAAAGTGTAAACTTTTTTTCATTTACAAGAGTTTGGACACTGTATTTATACACGAGAAATGTTAGGCCCCATTTGTCAAATTTGCATGCATTTTTCTGTGTATGTTGGGGCTTTGTTTGGTTGTGCGCGATCTTTAAATTCAGAAGAGCATTAATTTTATATTTAAACATTTTATGTTAATGGCCCAAATTAAGTGTATCCCATCGAAGGATCAAAACAGAAAAAGTAGTTCACTTTTACACTGCATTGGCGACTTTTTTTGTTTATATATTTCTTCGTTGTTTTCATGAAATCAGGCTGCAGGCAAAAATCACGCCGCATTGAAGAGAAAACACGACTTCACTACCGTGGTTCAATTGTTTTGGAGAGAGATAAGTTTGCGACGATCGACGAAATTATACAGTAAGAAGGTGATTTAAGATACCTAAGATGTCAGTTAACAGTAAAAATAAATCGTAACCATTAACCATCTAAAATCGGTTAACCATTTCCAGGCCTAGCTCGACACTTTTATTACATAGTACTTGCAATTCCTGTGGACGTTTCGTTGTGAACATGCGCCGGGAAAAGCGGTGTTTGGTTGAAAAACTCATAGCACGTTGTCTAATATAATGTTATATTGAACAGGAGTGCTATACTCGAATATGTGGACACGGAAGGCAAAACGAAATATTTATCACCAATTCCCGGGAAACCATATGCGGTAACTTACCAGTATAATCGGGGTATCGTGACGATACAGCGACTGTCATAGCTCTTCCAGGTCCTGTGACGATGATTCATTTTCATAATTCTGTACCAACGTGAATTGAAATACCAAGTGATCTGAGTCACTTTTGTATTACTATACTAGATCAAGTATCACAGTCTATCATTCCCCATAAATAAACTTTCCAAAATCATATGTGGTTACTTACCAGTACAGGTACATGTATCGGGGTACCGGTAACGGCAAAGGGACTGTCCTAGATTTCCCATGTCCTGTGACGATGATCCATTCTTCTTGATTCAATTTCAACGTGAATTGAAATACCAACTGATACGATTCCCTTCTGTATTACCACAGTCTACCGTTCCCCATAAAAATTCTCACGCTCGTTAAAAGCACGATATACACTGATATGCGTTCGCGGAACCGCCACAAGGTGCGCACATTCTGGTGACGCCGCGAGTGGGCCGCGAACAGGCTCCCTCCCCAGTAAAAAAAATTCCATTTATCAACATTCGTTTTCTAACTTATACTTAAAACAACTTGGATCAAATTAAACAGCCGAATATATCGGATATCGATACCCGAGGCCTATATATCGGTAATCTCTATTCAATAACCTCGATCCAGCCCAATCTATCACTATGTCGTATTCATGAACAGCAATGCTCAATGCACTAACTTTCCTTCATATATAATATTTATATTCAATTTTTACCTACAACAATGTTGTTTCCTCAAACAAACATCATTGATGAAAACCTACCGGACGACACGCGATGTGACACTCCGATAAGATGAGCAATTTGATAATTAAGGATAAGTCGTAATCAAATCCCCGATTAGAAATACCAATTTAGTATAACTGGGTATGTAATTGTGCGTGTTAATCAATGCAATGCATTCATTGATGACGTACGTATTGGTTTACATGCGGTTGAAGCTTTGTCGGGTTCAGATGTACAGTACAATTACAATGCATACTGCTAAACAGCGCGCCGCGAGATTTGAATTTGGGATAGGCCTACTTATACATTTTTAAGAAAGATACGCGGCGCATATTTTCCAAGCGACAAGCAGACACAATAGATGGAATGAATTGATATGCAAGCGACAAAATAAGGAAAAGCACCGAGGTTACGAGACCAAATGTGAATTTTAAACTAAATTGAGCAGGATCATGAGCACTCCGGAATGCTATACGGTAGGAAGATGAGATACACAAATTATTTCTACAGGTGTGTAACGACTTTGCTTTCAAATAATATAATCAGTACATTTTCCTATAAATGTATATATAAATATTTATGTATCTATATTTGCAACTATAGCAACTACAATGTGCACGTGGAGACTATGTACGATGCATGTAACTGTGGTAAAAATGTATGAGTAAATCTACTTTTTTATTGTACTTACATCTAAAACTAAGCATTATTGCTTTATTAAAAACTGTATTAGTTTGTACCATATATAAAAAACTGTTACGCAGCTCAACACGGACGACTTCAAGCGTCCAGGTACGGTTTCAAGTACATGTAAGGCTTGAGTATATATCTTGATTTGTGCGAAGCCGTCAGACTATTGCGTGCAGGGCACTCGTCTTAGCTCGTGATTTCGGGATTTTCTAGTGTTGTAGACAAAGTCAATTATTTTTGCATATATGGACTGTATAATCAAGACACAGTTGAAATTAGTCTATTCACATTGACAACGAAATACATCAGACTAAATCAGGGGTGTGCAACATATTTGCCAGTGGGCCCCATAACTAACTTCAGACCTACACAAAAAGAAACGAAATCGGCTATCGCTTAGCATTACGGTAAAAAAGTCATCGGGCAAAACGGCGAAAGTTGAAACGCAGCGAAAAGAGCAAGACAACATTGCGAACGTCCATTAACCAATGTGAGTGACTTTTCAAACATAGACTATCAGATTAGGATTTTATGCTTGATGGTGAAGAATCTCAGTGTTGTCAAGTGTCAGTGGTCACACTAAGAGACTTAGCGGGTCGGGTTGTGGCCCGCGAACCGCCTATTGCACACCCCTGGTCTAAATGTATTGGTATAAACGATAGAAATATCAAAAACCAACATAATATCTTGACATTATATCAATGCCCACTTTCTATTCTAATTGATTTCATTCTACGTCAGTCAGCATCATTGAAACAGAAATTTCTAGAATTTTTTTTATTTTTCATTGAAGTCGTATCAATTCTAACGTACTCTCATTGCATCTCAATTGTGCATTGTGGATTGTGGAACCTAACTATGCCGGCTTGTTTTTAGATTGGGTTAGAATGGTCAATAATAGATAATGATCTGAGAAAGATACTGCAATTCGATAACAACAAAATCGTATTTCTGAAAATTTAGATTGTTTAATTGATTCCTACGAAATTTGTGATACGTGAAATTTCGGAATATTTATTTCGTTTTTCACAAATTCTTTCGAATTAGTGTAGAATTTGAGTTTCAATTGTTGATATCACTATAAATAGGTATGACACGAGAGCAAAGTGTTCTCAAAAACCAATCTAAAATAGCAAAACGTTGGATGAATTTTCGGGCCTTGTAGAATTCGAAAAAACTATTTACAATAATTAGTGACTTCTATCATCTCTGAGTATTGAATGTATGAGATCGTTTTCAAAGAAACAAAAAGTAAGCAAAGAAATCCATAGGTCCCCTTTTTGTTCAAAAACAGGCATATATATAAGATGAGAGTGTTGTTTCATATTTAAGCATTTAAAAAGTTGAAAATAAAGACGTTCCGTTTTTTAATCTTGAGCCTTGCCTGTCTATATATCCGTGCTATTCGTCGTTGCTTGCGGTTGCAACTAACTTGATCTCGTTACATTTCGTCTCGTACATCTTCTTTTTTATTCCATGAAATCTTGCTAATATTCTCAATATCCTTTTCTCCGCGTGGTTTGGAGTGCGATCGCGAGTGTTAATCCACGCAACGGTTTCTTGTGAAGTATGAAAAAGTTACTTTGTATGGCTCACTGACGATGTTAGTTTTTAATCATAATATATTCTATGTCTTACCTCCATTTTTATTACATGCCATTGCCAGAAGATATGAAGAGTAATCAGTCACGAAAGTCAAAGGTTCCATGTAAAGTTGGGCTCGAGCTTATTTCATGTAAAATTACAAAATCAAAATATTATTTATACAACACTGCGTAGTTTTCGGTATAACAATAACACCGCTAGGATAATTGCATTTTCAACGTTGTGGTGCTAATGGTAGTGAAATTGAAAAACATATTTCTCGAGATTACGTTACTCAAATTAGAGTCAATCCACCAATTCGCTTTCCTTCGAGAAAACAACAAGCTTAATTCCGTGGTATTTTAGACTTGGAGTATTTCATTACCTTCAATTAAGTTTGCAATTGGAATGGTTGACTCCGACTTTGTTACCGATTCAACGACTATAGCAATATCTTGAAGCGCTGAAATGAAATGAATATTTGTAAACTATATCAGTCATTAGAAGTATCAACATCATTGATTTTCAATCAGTAAATGTTGTTTGCTAAAAGCGCGAATATTCAAATGTAAATGATATCAGTCACATTTGCAACAAGAAAAGGCCTTGTTAATATGATATTCATAATCAATAATATACCGTTGTTGTCCTGTTAACATATGAGGGCCATAATTATCCAACTAAGGAATTTTCGAACATATGTACGATATATTAATATTTTAATTACCATAACGCAGTAGTTCAACACCTATTCCAATATTTCAGAAACAAATAGATTTTTGAAAGAGTCGGCGGAAAGAAAAACATGAAATATGAATAGCAATTGGTATACGTTACTTTGAAACAGCATGTTACAATCATAAGGTTCACATTTGTATCCGTATATTATACCACACACTGCATTTAACAAAAGAAAAGTAGATTTATTGTTTGCTTTGCACAATTTCTTTCATGCCATTTCATTTCACCCACTCGATTTAATGTTGTTTCGATACAATTGGTACAACATTTTAGACGATTTTCGATAGATTATTTTCAGATTGTTAAAGAAACAAGAGAGCTATGCTCAAATATATGGACACGTAGAGTCACATAATTTTGATGACGTCATAGCGAAAAAAAAAGTAATAGCCTTCTGGAGAAAATTTTTATCTTTAACCACTAAAAATTTCAAAGCAATTGGTCCAGTATTCGAAGAGAAAAGCGACTTTTTAAAAACGTGTCAAGCGGTACTGAGTTAGCAGTCAGGCAGAATCTTACCTGTACACTGTAGGCCATATACGGTAATTGATCACAGAACAGTTGTTCCCTTGCAAATTTTATGTTGTTTACACTTTAGGACAGATAATTGATCACAGAACAATTCTTCCCTTTCAAATTTTATGTTGTTTCTAGTAGACTCTCATCAAAATAAACAAATATAGTAGGCTACAAGTGCTACAACGCTTGCATTACTGCACTGGTAGGACCGTGAAAGAATAAGTTACGGTAATTTCATTGTGGTAAGACACCGGCACCAGTACCAGTACCGTACTTACGTACTGAGCTACCACTACCGGTACCGAACCTGTAGGTCTGATATTCCGTTCCGCATACGATAGGCTATAAAACTTGCATTGCAGCATTAGTAATACCGCGGAAGGAATAAGTCAATTTCACTGCGTTACGGTACCGGTATGGCAACTTACCAGTACCGACCTACAGTAGCTGTAGTAATGAGCAAGACAATCGATCGCGAAACCGCTTGAAATAAGTGTAAAACAGTGTTCCCATGAGTAAAAATAAATACCGCGAAATTTTGTATGAAATATCATATCTCATAGGATTCATATAAAGTTTAAGAATAAACAAAAGTAATAGCCTTCTAGCGAAAAAATTAATCTTTAACCACTGAAAATTTCAAAGCAATTGGTCCAGTATTCGAAGAGAAAAGCGACTTTTTAAAAACGTGTCAAAGAACAAGAACAAGAACAAGAACAACAACAACATAATATTGAAACGATCGTTATGTCCACTACGTGTCCAACAAATATAACGGCCTTACCAGAGTCCTTCTTTATATGATACCATCCAGGTTTCTCTTTCTCTTCTAGTAGCTCATGAGTGATGCTGTCTTTTACCAAACTATAAATTGAAATTAATCATTAAATTAAACTTTATCGACTGTTGGTGAACGCATTTTTCTAGAAGTTGGTAGCACAACCGCATAATAAAAATGTGTTCACTTGCGAGAAGTTCGCCGATAAGCTTACGCCACGACAAAACATCTTACCCATGTTTAGGAAAAGGATGAAGTTTGATAGTGACTCCATTATGGGTTGCTTTCGACACGTTGACCAGAACACATTTGTTTGATAGAGCCCAATCGTCATGTGTAACCAGGCTATTATACCAATTTCCCGTCAGCTGATAAAACAAAATTTTTGAATATTCCAACTTATTTGCTTTGTTCGTTGAAACCGTTAAGATGCAGATGTGAAATGTAATCGGATATTACATATTTGTCCATTTCTAGCGTTAGGTGCATGTCGATAAAAAGATTGTATCTGATCTACTTTTTATGACTTTAATATTGAATAAGTAAATCTGATCCATACTGTGTAGACTGAAAGCAGAATAGGCAGTAAACAAGATGAAATATAACAAATGTAATGCCTACAAATTGCGTTCCACTTTGTCAAATAAATGTTTTCAAATTCAACGCAGAATAAAATGAATTTACCCATCAAAACGTTCATAAATGAGATAGACATTTCGTTGGTCATAGCTTAGTTACCTTGCTCCAGTCAATATCTTGTGGCTTCTCAGACCAAGTAGCAAGTAAGTGAAGTATCAACATCATTATCAAATGAATGACAAACATTTTTTGTATAACGATATAACTTTAATACGTCGATATATAAACGATATCTATCTATTGAACAAACTGTTCGATTGAGTAAATTTCATACCGTATCTATGAGACGGTGTCAACTTCCAACCACTGAAATAAAAGTATGTCGATTTTTGAACAATAGCATCGCGATAAACTTTGCGACAGAGTTTCAGTCTTCTCCTTTTGGTATGCTTGTTCGTAATACGGTTATAATATTTTTTGTTTTAAACCAATCTAATGAGAGCGCTTTTCACTGTTGTACGGACGCAAATTACACTCAATTGTTTGTGACTATCATGAAACATTACTCTGACTTGAAATAAAACCTGTACTTTATGGTACATTTCATGTCTAGGTTTAGGTTGTAAACCAGTCATTACCGGAACTTTGTTCAGACTAACTGATTTGATAACAAAATATCCATTTCCACTGACGTATTTTGACTTGATTTTATTTTTATTGTTCCAATTGAATTCTTTTATCTTAATAATATTCCTCCATGACATTCTGATAGTTAGAACAATGAAGGGAATGCGATATTGGACTAAAATATGAGGAACATCTAAATCTACATAATATCTGGACAATTACTTGATATCCGTAATAACCATCGTACTTCGAATATATGTATTCTATCTGATTGAGGAAAAACATATTGTTCTTTGTTGCTTGCCAACTGGATTACGTGAGTAGTTTGAGCAAGAATTATTTCGACGGTATTGTTCAAAATTTTTCAACTTTGTTATCAATAGCATCATATATATCAAATTGCATGTTTCAACATATGGTATGAAGAGCGTTGAATGCGTTTTGCCCATATGTTTTGCACGGTTTAATTTCAAATACCAGTGGGTATGTATGCCTATATGATTAACTGTTTGATGGTTCAATGATTTTTCGAAATTTCTATTCGAAAAATATTTTTTAGGGCGATGTTCGCAAGCCCCATTGTGTGATGTAAGACCAGAGTGACATTGGGTGTGTAAACCGTACGGCGTTAAATTCTATTCGGAATAAATAACGTCAGTTTTCTAAGACATGTTGTAACAAATTTTATAACTTCAGCTGGTGGTATCTTATTTGTATCGACTTCTATCTGTAAACCAATTTGTTAGTCGTTATCCTATTTGTATATTAACCTTATATCGGTAATCTTTTCAAAACAACTCACGACCTTTCTTCGATTAAGCCAAATAAATATCAGTTTCAGGCTCTTCATTTTTCATGAAAGCAATTCATGCTTTTTCCTATCGAACTTTTCATATAGTATATATAAACTTTTATTTTGTGATCAAAGAATTAAAAATGATGATTTTTATTCAAGGTACCACAATTATACGTACAGAATAACAATTTTCCTTCCACAATAACTCGATTGGTTTTATGTTTTATGTATATAAATGAATACTATAAATGGATTTTTCGAAATTTCATGAAATGGTTCTTTTTTGTATCGAACTCACCAACACCACCAGGGTTCCTCATCCCAGATAATGTATACAGGTAAATTATCACGATATTCCAATAACTGGCTCGCGAGAACATGTGCTGACCCCCCGAATCCCACCCGTATTAACCTTTTGATGGAACGAGTCGATAATTAAATGATCATAAATAGGGCAGTATTTTTTATTTTTTTAAAATACCAAATTTCATTTAAAATATTTGATTTGATACATGCATTTATTCCAAATTTTTATATTGCCACTAGAATCTTTGCCCATGCTTGCCATTGGGGATATAGTAACTGGATGAAAGAAGTAGTCTGTATTATATGTAAATTTTCCGTAACAAAAAATGGCCTATATACCGGGTTACCATATCGTGCTTATTTCTAAGAAAAATGCTTATTTTTGAGTTGCGTGGTTTTTGTCTTAGAAACATGGATGACATGTTCATGCTTTGCGTACAAAGCCTCCGTGGAATTGGGAACGAGGGGGTTTATCATCAAACGCAACGCGTATTCGCACTTCGCTGTGTTATTATTGTGACGTTTCACTTATCCACGTTCCACCATGACTTCATGCCTCGGACACTGCCTTGTTCATTCTCAGCGCGAACTGTTTTTGTTAACGGTGGAGTTTGCGGCATTTCCAGGCGAACTGTGACACAGTTACAATAGTTGCTCCTGGTGATACTGTTTATGGTGAAGACCAGAGGTGTGCAACCTTCAATACAGGAGGGCCAGATAAAAATAACTGGGTGAAACCGCTATGGTCAATGTAGCTATTCCGACAGCGATATCAACATAAAGGCCATCGGGGAAACAGCAATTGGTGCCCAGAATACGGCTACAAAACACAAGAAGCATTGCGGGAAACCACAGTATGACTTGTCAGAGGTTGCGTGTGTCTGTGCCTTCGTGTCTTTCAATGGCTTTTGGGGCCGCATACAATTTCGTGCAAAGCGACTTGTAATAAAATAAATGGGAGTGAGGAGGAGACTCGTGTATGATTTCTTTCTCATTTTATTCTGCGTTCCTGCCATAGCTAAGAAACCCCAAAAATTAACCTTTTGACACCCGTGCTTATTTTTGGCCCTAGGCAGATGGTAACCATGCCTATATGTGGTATAAACGAAGTAAAATGTTAGTTTACAATACATGAAATGTCCTTTGATTTACCGAGTGTCTTGATATACGTACATAATGACGACCAAATTATTTTATTGAACACGAAATGTACATATGGATCGTTTTGGTATTACGTTGTTCTTGTTAGTATTTTCTTCTTATTGTATTGGAAAAGTCACTTTACTATCAACTATAATACCAATTGATTTGAAATTTTCAGTGGTTGAAGATTGTATATTTCACTGGAGAGCTATCATTTTTGTTTATTTCAAAGATTCCTGTTGACTTTATAGGCGTTTTTTGTGTGCGATGACGTCATCAAAATTTACGCAGCTTCTGGCAGTTGTGAACATTGCCGTACTGGTAGGCCACCGTGACAGATTGCATACCCGTACTTTGTTTTGGTTTTTCCCTCCGTGTATTTGAGCATCGCTCTTTTGTTTTAAATATTAAGTTATGTGTTGGAAAACATGTCCAAATGGCGTCAATTCCGTTTACGTCATATATTCAGCCCAGTGCAACAATTTCATATGATTATTTATTGAAATGCAAAATAGGATAAGAATGCAGACGACTGCTAGATTAGAAATTTTGACAAACCAATATTGAAACAACACATTATAATAGCCCACCATATTCATCATAAGATGGAAATTCTGAAATACGACCTATAAAGTACACAATAAAGATCAGATTGAACATCGGTATGACTTGTTCATGAGGATTTTCGACAAGGCTTGATATCTGAATTGAATTATATAAACTTAATAGCGGTAAACCATATACAACGAACTATTCTCATTTATTATGGCTTTATTTAAATGCCACAAGCATTTACAGCTGATTTTTGAAAATATGTTCTTTTTATATCAAAAGTGTAATACAAAAGTATGAATACGACACTTTTGAGAATTCTAATAAATAAATTCGAAAAGCTTTGGAAACAAAAGTATAGAAATCTGGGATCGATGAACGCCCATTCATCTTGAATGAATTGAACCTAAAATGATGCAATTAAACTTGAGTGATAAATTTGAATAAGCGAATTTATTGTCATTGTTTGTGTTGGTTCATATAGTTACCACAACAAGAAAACTTTTGTAAGCGGCCCTAAACTGGAGAGCAGTTTAAAAAAAATAATATTAAAAGATACAAAAGCTAAATGGTTCCATCCAGGGCCGGATTTCCCAATAGGCTAGGTAGGTTGAAGCCTAGGTCCTCAACGTCCAGGGGCCTCGAGTACGAGTAAATAAGAGATATGGTCACCGAATTGTCAGCTCGTATTTTTTTTTTCAATTCATATATTTTCAAATACCATGCGTTTATACAACATTCGAACAGGCCCATTGTGATAAATTTTATCTCGGTTTGAATTTCGAACAGGCCCATTGTGATAAATTTTATCTCGGTTTGAATTTTGCTCAATCTAGGAGCCCAAACAGTTGTTCAGAGTGGGGATTCGAAACACCTCGGGCTCCTACGCAAACTTTGTCATCAACAAAACACTTATCAACAAAAATTATCTGAACATTAACCGTCTTAAACGCATGATTGATAGTTACTTTAAACCCCGTCTGTATCCCATATGAGAGTAAGCTGTATGTGTGCATACCGATTACTTTAAATTTAAGTAATTTTACAGTTCAACAATCCCTTTCTGGACAGAGTTATAAGTCAGTTTCACAGATGGCTCCCATATATTTTTCGGTGGCACGAATATTATAAATCCCTTGATTGCTGTCTTCCGGGTCTCGCTTGACCATTAAAACAATGGTTGTGTCCTATG